TATATATATATATATATATTTATGTTCACACATATATAACCACACATGTATATTTACATATACATTTACCAAATGAAAGTTGTGATTGATCTTCTATGTAAATGCTTGCAGTGACTGCCTGGGAGCTCATTTTTCACCATTCTAACAGTGGCAAAGAGAGAGTGAGATTTGAGTTATATAATGCATACCTACTGCCACTGAGTCAATTATGACTCACAGTGACACTTTAGGATGGACAGAGTAGAACTGCCCAATGGAGTTTCCAGGGTTGTAAATCTTTGCAGAAGCAGATTGCCTCATCTCTCCCCCGAAAAGTGACTGGTGGGTTCAAACTGCCAACCTTTTGGTTATCAGCCAAATGCCTTAACCATTATGCCACCAGAGTGCCTTTATGTGATGTATAGTTGGGCTTTCTTTTTAAATTCTCCTACTAAGTGAAGACTTCATTAGTCATCTCCTTTCCACTTTCCCGTAACTATTTGGATAAAGACAATAAATGTCTTTAGGATACTCTTGATACAACATAATGCTGGTTTGACCCAAAACCAAACTTATTTATTAAACTTCCTGTTGGGGAAAAAAATAATTGAGTGGAAATATCCAAAGATTATTTTGACTGAACCAAGATGTCAATTGATTTCCATTTCTGTAACTGTAAAATAGGTATCTCTAGGACAAATGTAGGAGCTCTGGTGGCCGTTAAGTGCTCAGCTGCTGACCAAAATGTCAGCAATTCAAACCCACTAGCCTGTCTATGGGAGAAAGTTGTCATAGTCTGCTTCCATGAAGATCACAGCCTTGGAAACCCTATGGGGCAGTTCTACTCTGTCCCGTAGATTCTCTGTGAGTCAGAATCTAATTCAAAGGCACATGTATCTGCTGTGTGATACAGATTTAAAAGTAAGACCAAAGTTGGGTGTTGGGTGAGCAGCATGGAGTTTGTTTTTCTTGTAATGGTAACTCCTAGACTACTTTCATATCTATGATCTCTCTTACTTATATTTCTCTGGCATGGTTAATGCCTGTCTTAGGTACAACTTGATTTATTATATGCTGAGATGTCCTCAAAATGCCTAAAGCCCAGGATTCTCTGTGATATATTGAAATGTATCCCCTTGGTGTTTGTTTGCACCACTTCCCTATCTTCACATTTGGCACGCTTATGCATCACAATGGGAAAGGATAATTACCAAATAAACAGACTATATTTCTTACCCTTTGCACTTCAGTCTCTGAGCTAGTGTTTCTAAAATTAGATATTCTGCTTTACTAATAAAGTCTTAGTAAGTGAAAGCTATTTCTACAAATACGTTTTCATTTCACAGGAAAACTGAGGCTCGAAAATGGTTCTCAAATGACAGCTACCCACTGATCAAGGCAGAAACTTTTACTTATTTAAATTATTTAAGTGGGTTTATGACCACAAGTGTACATACAAAACTCAATTAATGAATTTTCAGATTGTTCTTTCCTACTTCGAGTCTTTGCTGTAACACATATCTGGATATCATACAAGAGTGTAGTCTGATGAATTCTCTTACTTCATAATGGATATTTACAATTTTTCCACATCCTTCTTAATTTTGAGAAATATCTTAAATTTAAGTAAACACTAATGTGTTCAAAAAATTAAAAGCCAAAGGAGTTAAACTGTGTGATATACAAACTCACGTGTCAGTCCAGGACAAAGTTCTTGAATGTGCCTTTTTTTATTCTAAGCACTTACCTAGTCCTTGTGTTAAGATAGTCTAACTGATGCTTTCTCTCATCCACCTATTGTCATACTTTCCTTAAAGTACCCAGACATGTTTTCCTTTAAAATCCCACATAATACTATTAAAGGATACACATGATAATTTTTCACATATTGAACATTAGTTGTATGTTGGAACTGTATCATTCATTCTTAGAATAATAGTAGCATCATTTGTCTTTCTGTGATCACTGGGATGGATTGAAAATACCCATTATTGTTTATGAAATTATACTATGGCTCAGGTCCAAGTGTTAAGATAGATATTAATCACTCTCTCTGTAGAAGGGTCAAGTTTGGAGATGTTAGAGCACCAACTAGAATATGTGATCTTTCTGTGGCCTTCTAATGTTCTAGAAGGTTCAGCGTACATTCAAAATACTTTCCCACTTTACTGTCAGATCAAATTCAATTTGAATATGGACTTACTTATTCAGCACATTTTCAGTCTGAATCAGGTCTGTTATCAGCCTCTGGAGGGAAGCCCTGCAGATATTTTGTATAGGGACAAACAAGAATTATTTTACCCTTTTGGAAGAGAAATTCTCTATAGAATTACTTCACACTCTTAAAAAAGATCTGAAAGTCTCCTGAGGGCTAGACAGAGGACCTCAGTTTCCCCATAATAGCATATTCTTGTGTGCCTCTTGGGAAAATACACAAAGGAAAACTTTATATTTGGCAGTATGTTTAAGCTATTGGCAGTGGAGATAACAGCTGTTGCCTGGAATTTCATAGTACAGAGGAAAACCCTCTGTAGTTAGGAACCACACATTATTCAGCCTCATATAGGAGAGAATTCAAGCTTCTATGTGCATGAAGTCCTGCTTATAAAATAATCAACATCTCCATGGTGTGCCTGCATAGCAGAGTAGAACTTCCCCATGGGGTTTCTAAGGCTGTAATCTTTATAGTAGCAGACTGCCACATCTTTCTCCTGCAGAGCAGGTGGTGGTTTGATCTGCTGACCTTTCAGTTAGCAGCCGTGTGCTTAACCACTGCACCACCAGGGTTCCTTTCAAACTATTTTATATATTCTGAGTCTACAGAGAGAGCAAAAAGAAGAGGGTTAAAATATCTCCCTACCTCTGGTCCCAAATGATTCCAGGCTGTAGAAAGCTCTGAAAATCATTGGAATTCTCTTGAACAACTTTGATTATAACTTTACTTAATTATATGTTTAGATTCAGATGGCATCAGCCTTCCAGCAAAAACCAGGCTTCTTCACAATACCAAGATTTCTTTATTGGAAAAACTCTTAGTGTTCCTCAACAGCTAGGGAATAAATAGGCAATGCCTACATTAACACTGCTATTCCTCAGATTAAGGATGGGGTAGTTTGAACATCAGAATTGTGTTGAATCCATGGAATCCCTAAACTGATGGCTACAGAAGCAAGGGAGAAGGGTATCTTGTTTACTTTGATCTATTATTAGTTTATCACGTAAAAAGTATTAAGAAGTTAAGTAGCAAAGCATTATATTGACAATTAAAAGTACCAGCCCAGGTACAGTTCTAGTCTTGCCATAGATACCTGATGAGATTTAGTTGTTCTTTTGTTTGTTTGCTTGTTTAGTTTTGTTTTTTTAAAAAAGCATTGAAACTATGGGAAGAAGGACTCAATAGCCCTCTTTGGAGTAGGTTACAGACAATACAGAGATCCTTGTGGACAGCTCTCCTAAAAGTAATTTCTGACATTTGTGTAGAGCTTCACAGTTTACTTCTGCCAATGTTGGATCCTTCTCTCTTCCTCATCAGATTTCAGGGACTAGTTGGCTCTGGTTCTCTGGACCGTGGCCTCTCAGAACCTGATTATCCCAATAAGGCACTGGGAACGGGGTTGGTCTGAAGGTCGCTGAGGAGGTTTGGCAATGTGCATGTCTGCCCTGATGACTCCGCCTTGCTTCTGTAGGTGGGAGGCCACCCCGTGGACCGCGTGCTCCTCCTCGTGTGGGGGGGGCATCCAGAGCCGGGCAGTTTCCTGTGTGGAGGAGGACATCCAGGGGCATGTCACTTCAGTGGAAGAGTGGAAATGCATGTACACCCCTAAGATGCCCATCGTGCAACCCTGCAACATTTTTGACTGCCCTAAATGGCTGGCACAGGAGTGGTCTCCGGTAACTGTGCCTTCTTTCTTTGTTGGTTAGGAGAGTAAGTCCACTCTTCCCTCTCATCATCATAGCCCTTGCAGCTCCCCACTTCTTCTCTTGAGGTGTCTGGAAGCCTACAAGCTTGGCTCCTGGAATAGGAACAGTACCACAAATCTAACATGACTGAAGGTAAACAATTAAAAAAAAGAAAGTCTTTCATCAAGTTACTTCAAGAAGCCTCTATCGCTCCCCATATAATGTTCCCTCAAATGGCAAGGGGAAGGCGATACCTTTCAAGAGTAATTGAGACAAAATGACTGATCCTGAAGCTATGAAAGTTGCTGTAGGGATAGAGCTCAGTGGACCAAAAGTTTGATTTCATTTTTTTGTTTCTTATACTCTGTCTATATCCAAAAAGGATCTGGTTGGAATAAAATAAAACTATGAATGTTGTTCATTGGGAAAAAATGAATTAAATGAAAATAGCACAGTAATCATAGTCACTAAAATGAGGATGAAGTACAGAAATTTAAAAACAAAAATATAGAAATTAGAAAAGCAGCTACAATCTAACGTAAAATGTGACTCTGTGTTTCCAGGCCGCTAATGCAAAAAGGGAAATGGTAAAGAAGGTAGAAAGGTGAGGGAAGGGACCATTGTGTCCACAGCTTACAGAAATGACTAAATATTCTTCACAGGGCCATGTGGTTTTGTGGCAGATGCGATGTTTCTCTATGTCTGGATTTGCTACCAGACATATAGAAGCACTGAAGGTGCTAGCTACATCTGGCTGTACAATCAATTCTTTTACTTTTGTATTTCAATATAATCAATCAGCTCAAACATGCTACAGTAGAAATGTAGTAACTGTGGGAGCTATCATTTCTCATATTTTAGACATAACAGTTAGTATAGCAAAGTGACTAAAGGAAAATGCAGTGCTGGTAATCAAAATCGAGAAGACACTGTATAGTTTGTTTTCTCCTCTTCAGTGCTTGGTTTGAGACTTTGCACACCGTAGGTGCTTAAGGATTGCTGACTGGCTAATCCAAGTCTAAGAATTCGAAAGTGATTAAATTTTCAGCCAGCTCCACCCTCAAATAGCCAAACAGAACAAAGATTCCATGACTGGTAAGAAGTGGTACAGATCCGCCAGGAGTCCTCATATAGAAGGCAGTCCCTGTATTAAAAATCTTAGCTGGGAAATGAAGAGAAGTAAACAAGGCTTTGCCTGTGAGTCTCCTCTCTCTTGCGTTCTCTTTCCAGTGCACGGTGACATGTGGTCAGGGCCTCAGGTACCGTGTGGTGCTCTGCATCGACCATCGAGGAATGCACACAGGAGGCTGTAGCCCGAAAACAAAGCCCCACATAAAAGAGGAATGCATCATACCCACTCCCTGCTATAAACCCAAAGGTAACTGCGGAGCTCCCTCACAGGTCTCGTAATAGCTTGTGTATATTCAGGATTTCAACTCCTTGACATAATTTTAAGTATCCCAAGTGTTCTTAGGAACTATTCTTTGTAACTTAAACTCTATAAATTGATGTAATTCTTTTTTTAAAATCTTTCAAATACTTTTGATAGCAAATTTTTAAGCACTACATGAATTTGTTTATATAATTCTCTCCTTAGTCATAAACTTGTTTCAAGATTATTGTGAAAAAGAATCAGATTTATCTGCTTGAAAGGAGACCAAATATCATAGAAATATGTGTGATTTACTGTCGGCATTTCTTGCTGCTAAAAACAATGCAGTGCATCTAAGTGTGCCTGCTTTGCTAAGCCTGAAATACATTAAGAAGCCTTATACTTCAAACTGATGAAATAGAAAACTGTTGTCTTTTATATTGAAAAGGAAGATATTAGTATGAGATTAAATTCCAGAATCACAAGTTCAAGTGAAATTTTGAAATAAATCAGAATGTCATACACATTACAAATAATTTATTTTAAAAAATTCAGGAAGGTTCTATTTACTAATCAAGATTAATTATAATTACACTGGGTTTCTCAGATAAGCGTGAATCTTAATCTAATTTCTGCCCTAGTATTGTCACTGGTCTGTGTCAATGAAATCAAACTCTCAAACCAAACACACTGCTGTGGAGTCAGATCAGACTCATAGCGACCCCCCTTGGGTTTCTGAGGAGGTATCTCTACAGAAATAGATTGCCCAACCTTCCTTCCAAGGAGTGGCTGGTGGTGGGCTTGAACTTCCAGCCTTCTGGTTAGCAGTCAAACGCCTTAGCCACTATGCCACCAGAGTGCCTGTCAATGAAATAGAAAAACAAAAAGTCACAAACCATTCAGAAATAAAAAGTTATGTATTACAAACCTCCTTCTATTATTAATAATAGATATGATTCCCACCTTTTTCTCAATTTATTTGTTTTAAACAATTAAAGTTCATTCTGAAAATTAGCCACAATGTATAGGCTTTCCTTGGAGGGAGTAAATGGGTCTTGAAATCCAAATTAGTGACATAAAAGGAAATAGATGGGCAGTGGATTTTTTAAAATATATATCAAAATATTTGTTAATTTTAATAAATGTGTTTCTTTCTAAGCCTCAGTTTCCTCACCTGTAAAATGGGAATACTGTTGGTAACTACCTCAGAACCAAACCCATTGCTGTCAAGTTGATTCTGACTCATAGAGACCCTATAGGACACAGAAGAACTGCCACATAGATTTTCCAAGGCTGTAAATCTTCACAGAAGCAGACTGCCAAATATTTTTCTCTTCTGTGGAGTGGCTAGTGGGTTTGAACCACCAACCTTTTGGTTAGCAGCCAAGTGTTTAACCACTATGCCACCAAGGCTACTCCCCAGAGATTATTTGTGGATTAAATGATATAATGCAAATTAAGTGCTTAGCCCAGAACCTGTCATATAGTAAGTGCGCCATAAATGTTACCTCTTACCTCTTTTACTATCATTAGTATCCTCAAACATAGGAGGATAGGCCTTTAGTACACCTGACAGGATTCATTGCAAATCTACAGTATAGTATTGCAAGCCTATAATTACTACCAAATTGAATGCTTCTTTATTGAAAGATAGCTAGCTCTATCAGAGATGGTTTCGTTTGCTAAGCCATTTAGTTCGGAGAGGTAGAGTCATCTTAAACTTGTATACGTAAAGGTAGCGTGTTACTGTGCTTTAAATATTAGCAAACCCTTTTGGCTTTGATGGTTTTACATTCCTCTAACTTAAAATAGCCAATTATTTATTAGTTTTGTCTTTACCAAGCCACTGCAGAGAATGAGAAGCAATTTGTGGTTGACTATCAAGAATAAAATCTGGATTTTCACAACTAAGTAGTGAGATCTGACTTTCTAAACATCATTAAAATGCCATATAATTCTATACTGTATGCATATATAGACATATTTCTTTCATCTTTGCAATTGTATGTTGTAAAATGTGATAGAGCTTCACTGGCTCATACTATAAAAGCAAATATGACTATAAAGGACCCTAATAAATATGTCAGAACAGGAATCTTGGCAGTTACTTCTGTAGGAGCAGTTCTAACCTCCCTCTTTCTTTTGCTCCTCCACAAAGTTTTCCAGGAAGTAATTAGGAAGTGTGTTCTGAATTGTTTGGCCAAAACTAGATGAATAGGTGTAACAAGTGAAATTATGGGTTTTAGACCCTAACTTGCTTGTATTCCAATTGTCAGTGAGCCAAGTTGGGGTGGTATTAAATGACTCAGAAATCTAAAACAATGATTTGTGGACTTCAGAGTGGCAGCATTTTGTTTGGTTTTGAAAAATACAGCATAGATCACACTTAGGCAAAAAGTCAAAGAAAAACAAGTTAGAATTTATGAAAGGATGACAATGTAATTTTTTGCACTTTGTATTTGTTTTAAAAGGTAAAATATTGTCCAACTTTTTCATCAGGGATCAATGAAAGATACCTCAATGACTCCTTCTATCCATATCAAGTTGATGCTCCTAGAGTTACAACCTTCACAATAAAAAGGCTTTCTCTTGCTCTTTAACATGATAAAGGGACCTGCCACATGGAGACCAATATTACTAAACACTTTTCAAATCTGATTTTTTACCGTGGTGTTCCCATCATCTTTGTTGTTAGGTTGTTAGGTGCTGTCAAGTCAGCTCCAACTAATAGTGACCCTAAGTACAACAGAACAAAACACTGCCCAGTCCTGTGCCAGCCTCACAATCCTTGCTATAGTTGAGCCCAATGCAGCAGCCACTGTGTCGATCCATCTTGCTGAAGGCCTTCCCCTTTTGCACTGATCTAGAAGCATAAATGCACTTAAACAACTTATTAGATTTGCAATGAACAACATACTAACTTCTAGGTATAGTACAAAACTAAGAACTGGTCGTGGGGGTTGAGGGGGAATTCTCCTGAAATCTCAAACTAGTTCTAACCTCTTGTTTTTTATGTGTATCTCTTTCTCAGAGAAGCTTCCTGTAGAGGCCAAGCTGCCATGGTACAAACAAGCTCAAGAGCTAGAAGAGGGAGCTGTTGTCTCAGAAGAGCCCTCGTAAGTTATAAAACAACAATTTGTTTTTCCTTTGAGCTGATGGACTTAAAAAAGCAATGTCTCACTGGTTGTGCCTTTCATGGGTTTATGAACTAAGTGTGAGCATCTTCCTATGAACTAGTACATGTTGGTTCATGGACTTACACATTAGCTAAGTATGAGTATCTCACTGATAAATTAGAGCTTCATCAGTTTTTAACATGATTCTCAAAACTTCAGATTGATCTCTAAATGCTTTTCACTTTTGCCTGAAATGAGAAAATTAAGGTAGAGTGTTTTCACTTTTGCCAAATGTTGACTCCTCTCTTTTTTCTTGCCAAGTTGAGAAGACCCAGGCTGCATCAGATCCTGCAACAGAGATATGATGTGAAAGCCTGGACAGCTCTATCTCCCAACTTTGCAATAGAGCCACTCACAAAAGTGCAAGAGCAGAAAAAATACATCTGAAAGGGAAGTTTATTAGCCTTTCTTTTCCCTGTCTTGATGAGGTGGAGACCCAGGTCTTTGCCCCACTTGATCATGGTCTTATTGGTGTTCTATTTGATCAAGAACATGAAACATTCAAGACCATTAGTCACAGATTGACCAGACACTTTGAGAAGGAACAAGGAAGAAAGACAAAGATTGACTGGTTGATTTGATAAGTGAATATTGATTCTACTAGAAAGTACTGATAGGCATATCTGCTGCATCATTTAAGAAAAAGAGAGATGACTTTTTATTGATGAATTTCATCTATGACAAAAATGATTTCTCATGTCGAAGATTTCTAGATGCATTCATTTAATGAGTATTAACTCTGTGCTGTGCTTTTGTGCATAAGATGTGTTACCCACCCTTGAGGAGCTCACAGTATAGCATAGTACGTGGATATAAAATAGTTTCCAAATCCAATCTGTAATTGAAATGTTACTGAGATGTAAATTAACATTGTAATCAATAATTCAAATGCAATTAGAAATTTCTGACTCATCCTATTTGAATCTAAATCTGATGTGGTTTCCAAGAACACAAATTATATTCCTGATTCACACCCTAAACAAGGGATTGAAAAAGAAATCAAAAATACAGATTTGTGCAGTGACCAAAGGTCGTTTGTGAAGACTCCAGCAGCCTTTCTCACTTCTTAGGAAAAGCAACTAACCATGGCAGAACTTTGAAGGAAAGGCAGTAGTTAAAGATCTCAGTGCAACCTTTAAGTGACCATAACAAGGCCTAAAACTTTTGTCTGTCTCTTGCTGGTACCTGGTTTGAGAGGCCTTCCTGCTGCTGGAGAGGAAGTAAACAGTGCAGTTTAGAACAAAATTTACTCTTTAATCCACTATGGTCCTCTTTAAGACAAAGAAAAATGCTCAGCAATTGAAGCTGGTTACTGCCTTGGAAAACCAAGGAGGGGTAGCTATGAGTCAGATCCCACTTGATGGCAGTGAGTTTGGTTTTGTTTTTTTTTTTTTTTTTTTTTTGGTATGTAAATAAACTGTTTTGCCTAAATAAACTGTTCTCTTTGCACACTATATTTCATCATTTGGTCGAAAGCATAATCCTATGTATAATACTGCATTATGACTGATGTTAAATAATGTAAGAAAGTTGAAATTAAATCAAAATATCTTTTTTTGGCTTTAATTTTTAAATTTTTTTTTTGATTGTGATTTGGGTGAAAGTTTACGCAGCAAAATGACTTTCCGTACAGCAGTTCACATACACTTTGTCTCATGACATTAACTACAATTTTCCACAATGCAACAGCTCCCCTCCCACTTCCTTCTCATAATTACCTCTTCCCTGTGTTCTTCCCTCCATGCACTCCTGCCCCCTGAGCTATGCCCCTGTGCATACACAACCCCTCTATTCTCCCATGATTGGTCTCTCCAAGGAGTCTATCTAACTAGTGGAAATGTTCAACTCATATGCCTGTCTTTTGTTTGACTAGAAGCCACAGGTGTGGGTTCAATTCCAGACCTAAAGGGCAGCTAGGGGTCATAGTCTCAGTGGTTCCACCAGGCTCCATCAGACCAGAAAACCTAGTCCCTTTTTTTTTTTTTTTTTCCCCAAGTGATTTTGAGTTTTGTTCCACATTGTTCTCCCACTCTATCCAGGATCTCTTACATAGATTCCCCCTCCGAGTGGTTGACAGTGGTAGCCAGGTACCATCTAGTTCTTCTGGTCTCGTAGTCGTATAGGCTGAGGATCACATGAGGTACCAGTCGCTTGGACTGTTTCTGTTAATCGTTGGTTTTCTTCATTCTTCTTTGCTCTGGATGAGGAGAGACTCATCATTGCAACTAGACGGCTGTTTGAAAGTTTTAAGATCCCAGTCACTACTCACCAAAGTAAGAGGTGGAACAATGTGTAGTATGTTATGCCAACTGACCTTGATGTCCCCTGTGACTATGGTCCTGAACCCACAGGTCCAACTACCCACTCCCTCTGGGTAGCTGGCTGTGCCTAAGAACTGACTACAACCTTGACCTTTGTCAGCTCTACTATACACCTGGAAATTCTTACAGAACATAGCAATACACTTATAGAAACCCTATACATGGTCTTGGACACACTCCCCCCTGCATAGACATACTTAATCGTTCAGCCTGTCCACCCATCTATCCACCCATATATCCATGTTTGCCTTCACTGACAACGCAGTACTGTATGTGCAAAAGGGTTCATTTTTGTTGTCTGTACCTCCATGTACCTCTCTATATCTTCTTCTTCCTCAGTGCCACCATGTTGATCACTCACATTTGGTACATTGGCCTTCTCTTCACCCAAATCAATACTTGTCTCTACCTATCTAACAGTGTTCCCTCTTCTCCCCTCTCATCCCTGGTAACCAACAAAGAAAATTTCCTTCCATATATAAAACTTTCCTTGACTTTTTACAATAATGGACTAATACAATATTTGTCTTTCTGTGATTGACTTATTTCACTCAGCATAAGGTCCTCCAAGTTCATCCACATTATGTGTTGATTTGCTGATCCTACTTTATTCTTTAGGATTGCATAGTATCCCATTGTGTGTATGTACCATAGTTTGGTTATCCATTCTTCAGTTGATGGGCACCTAGGTTGTTTCCATCTTTTAGCTATTGTAAATAGTGCTACGATGAACATGGGTGTGCATATGTCTGTTCTTGTCCTAGCTCTCACTTCTTTAGGATATATACCTACTAATGGAATTGCTGGGTCAAATGGTATTTCTAATTTTTTAAGGAATTGCCATAATGATTTCCACAATGGTTATACCATTTTACAGTCCCACCAGCAGTGTATAAGAGTCCCAATCTCTCCACCTCCTAACCAGCATTTGTCATTTTCTGTCTTGTTGAACTTTGCTACTAGTGCTGGAGTGAGATGGTATCTCATTGTTGTTTGGATTTGCATCTCTCTAATGGCTAATGATCATGAGCATTTCTTCATATATTTGTTGTCCTCCTCAATATCCTCTTTGGTGAAATGTCTGTTCATGTTTTCTGCCCATTGTTTAACTGGGTTATTTGTCTTTTTGTTATTGAGGTGTTTGTTGGGGTTTTCTATAATTTCGAGAGGTAAGTCCCTTGTCAGATATGTCATTGCCAAATATTTTTTCCCAATCTGTAGGTTCTCTTTTGACTCTTTTGGAGAGGGCTTTGGAAGCACATAACAATTTAATTTTTAGAAGGTCTCATTCATCTAGTTTATCTTCTGCTGTTTGTACATTTTGGGTTATGCTTGATAGTCGATTTATGACATATAATAGGGCCACTAAATTTGTCCATAGTTTTTCCTTGAGGAACTTTATAGTTTTAAGTTTCAATTTAAGTCTTTGATCCATCTGGAGTT